AGGAGAGGAGAGGAGAGGAGAGGAGAGGAGAGAGAAACAGCTTGGAGAAATAGGCAGAGGAAAGTGCCCCAGTGTCCTGAATTCGCTTTTCTACTCCAACTTATTCCCCTCCATTTATCACCATTTTCTTTCTTGCTGAACATTCATAAAAGATGCAAAGAAGTCTGTCCCAATTACTTTTTTTGGGATTGGGGGTACCAAGGATCGAACTCAGGACTTTGCACTTGCAAGGCAAACAGCAGAACCACTGAGCTAAATCCCTGGCCCTCCCAATTACTTTTTGATGATAGCCTTGGGAAATAAGTTGCTGAGGTGGATGGCATCTTATCTCATTGAAGGAAAAAATTAGTCCAGAGATAATGAAGTACCACAGAAAAAGCAAGGCTTGTAAATGGCTGAAGTTGAAAAAAAATCACATAATCTCTATAAGTCTCAGTGTCCTCATCTGTTTGTTGTAAAGAATCAATGAAGGAACACATGTAAAATGCCTGACAGGAACTCGGGCTGTAGCTCAATGGTAGAGCTCTTACCTAGCATGTGCAAGGCCCTGAGTTCCAGCCTCAGCACGGCAAATAAATAGATCACTCAATACAAATGCTTAACAGGTTGATGGCCCTGAGAGAAACAGGGGTTTCCATCTATCCCCCTATGGAGGAAAAGGAATGATTAGAATATTGCTGGCCAGTTAAGTAGTGGCTTAAAGGAGAAATAAAGAGAAAACATTGCTTTTTGTATATTTTAGCTAAGTAGTTATTTGAAGTACTATTAACTGGTTTTTGCTAACTCACATTTCATGGACTCCCACCAATCCAATCATAGGCAGACAGTGTAGTTTTCTGCATTTTGCTCTGATGTTGTCCTTAATAGTGTTTTATTCATGATAAGTAAAAAGATAAGAGCCAATGATGATTTAGTTTACTGATTCTGCAAATGCTGTCTATATTAATTCCCTGGCACGGTAAAGTTTGCATGATGGCTGAACTTGTATTAATGAGCTTCCTCTTTCTGAATTCTGCTGCTCCATCCAAAGCTGCGAGGCTACAAAAAGTTGCTGCATGAAAATCCTTGCACTTGTACTTTAACAAAAAGAACAGTATAACACCGAAACTCTATTTTAAGTGAAAAACTTTGCATTTCTATTATCTTTCCTGCTTCTCTTCTTTTTATTTTCTATATGAACAACTGCATGTGTGTGTGACACATTCATGTCACTTCCGTTTCCACCCCACCTCCTACCCCCTGAGTGAGGTGTAGAGTCAGCCCTCACTGTGCATACTTTGTGGTTGAATGGACTCTGTGCACTGCCAAAATTGTTAGAGGAAGAAATTAGGGCTTTCCATAATAAGTATCCACAGAACCTCTATGCTCCAATGCGGAGCTGTCTACTAGCCACCAACTTGCTGGAAGAACAGAAATGAATACCTCAACTTTCACATTATTGGCTGATGGACCAATGGTGCCTAACGTTTTCAGCCCATGTGACTCAACTGGATAACACATAATAGGAAAAAACAGCCCCCAAACCATGGCAATCCCAGTAATCTTTCAGCTCCGTAATCTGGAGATAAGAGGCCATTTCACTCCTTGCTCAGAGGAGTGATGGCTAATGAGAGGCTTACTTCCTTCCTCATATTTAGACCAGCACTAAACCCTACCCCAACACAATCATTTAAGAAAGAAAGGAAGGCTTTCTTTTGTATAAATTGGATTTGTTCTCACAAAGAAAAAGAGTAGAGGCAGCATCGAGAAGGATTTGTCTTATAGGAAGTAAGAGCAGAGGCCAAGACTGAAATAGATGCTGGGTCTGAGCAGGGAATGCACTCACCAAGATTCTGCAACAAAACTAAAGGTAAAATGCTGGATGTGTTTTATGCAGCTACAAGAAGCACAATTGGACACAGCTTGTTGGAAAGCTTTTACTGTTTATACTACTCGGTTTCTTAGGAGTTTTATTTTGTTTTCTGTAACTCGGGTCTTTGATTGTGAAGAGGTACTTAATTGTAATTCGCTATGGCATAAATGTGATATTATTACAGAAATCTCAAGTTAGCAGTTCCTGAGAATACAGTACTGTTGCTTGTTTACCACCCTTTCTGGGTAAACGAATAATTACAATGTTAAAAGGAAACTGGAGTTTGAGCTGAAACTGAATGTTACAAAGGACTGATGTGCTTATAAAGTCTGCTGTTTGTCGCTCCTGTGAGAGACCATTTGAGCCAAGTGTTCTGAGAACTGTGTGGCAGACTATGCAAAAAGGTTTGCATCTCTGCCTAATTTTTCTCTGAAGATCATTTACAAAATAGTAAACAAATCTACCACTAGAAGACAGTGGCATCTACATGGTAGACAAGAGGCAAAGTAATAATTCTGAAGATTCTGGTGTTCTTTTAATCTATTTTTTCTTCATACTATGAAAATAGAATCATCTATTCCATAGGAAATAAGAGCCCCAGACTTTGATAAAAACCACCCCCTTACTCTCTTACTTTTTTTTTTTTTTTTTTT